AAATAAATCTAAATTAACCTTTTTTTCTTACTAGAATGACTGCACATCATGAAGAATATTACAGTTATCACAAAATCTTCAGTCTTACATCCTTTTCATAATTGTTTTCTTTTAATTTTGTTTTAATGGTTTTTGAAATATGTAACTAATAAATCTGCATGGAAAAGTTAAATCATTCAGTGAGCACCTAACTCAACTTACATAAATGAATCAAATAATTTACAAGCAGCTCACAAGAATTTTTGTATCTTGCTAAGAATTTTTGGTGCTACTATAGCGTGAGGTCTACCGCCATATGTCGCCTACCCAGGTCTATCAAACATGTATAAAAATGTATCAAATTAAGTGTTTATCGCTAAAATAAATGTATGGAAATGTGTGATATCCATGAGGGATGGATAATGCAGCGGTAGACCTTACGCTATAGTACTAACGGGAGGTAGACCTCACGCTATAGTAGCACCAAATTTTTGTATCTAACTTTTGTTCCCACTTATTTTTTCTTATATAACCTAACAAGTTTTTACTTTTTATAGTTTAATTTCTTTTATATCAATAAATACAATTATATACATAAAAAAAACAACAAGACATCCAGTACTCACAGCTAGCCTCTTGATTTTTGGCTCTTGGCTCTGAAGAAATGTAGCTCAACTTTTTTACAATAATGGTAGTGGTAAATATAGAAAATAATTACATGCACAAAGAACACAATGTCCTATAACTTGGAAAGACTTGCCCAATTACCTTATACAGATTCTTCATCTGAAAAGATATATTCATTGACATGTGACCAATTCATAGATGCCATAGTGAATGAAGATATGCAAATAAGGCTAAAGCAAAGTAGATGTATATCTTTAAATGAAGTTGTCCAATAGGCAATGAAACTTGAACCAATTAAATATGCAGCTAAACAACTGAAAGTACCATCCAGGAATTATGAAATCATCAAATAAAATAGTGTGAAAACATTGGCTTCCTCTGATGGAAGTCTAAAAGAATCCAAAGAATTAACTCTCTTGCTATGGGCTTGTTCAGTTCAGCTGAGTTTGTGACTCCAAATTGACCTTTATAGTTTCCATACTATAACTTCTTATGTGTTCTGAGTATTTTGATGAAA